TTTATAAAAGCGTTGTATATTAAAAAGTTTTTTTTATATTATTTATTCTTAGTTATTTCAATAAAACTGAACATTTTTTATTACGGAACTTTTTATTTAATGATAATGATATGGTATTTGAGATTATATTAACGGCATCACGGTGTGTATGCACGTGTATTAGTGAGAAAGACCGGCCAGAAAATGTGTAATGTCCGCGCAAGCAGGGCTTAAAAATTCTAGTTGATTTTTAAAATTTTGTTGCCATCGGTATTTTGTGGTTTTATTTACCATTTAACAATTGCCATTTATAAAAACTGGCGTTACTTTGTTTCCAACAATCATAGAGTGTAATTACATACATACATACATATGTATGTATAAAAAAAGTGCATTAAAGCGTTCAAAAATTAATGCAATAAACTACACTACACTTTTGGAACGAAATTTATAACATAAAGATAACTACGAAAACTAAAGCGGGAAGGAGAAGTTTTATTTGTTTTTTAAACAAAATACTTTAACTAAAATCTACCAAAATTTAAAAAAAATTACCTTTTTACCAATCCTAATTTTTTCTACCAATCTTGGTAATAACTTACCAAAGTGACAACCCTCTGCAGGACTTAACTCCCCGCCAGATAGAAAATCTTGTCTCCGTTACACCAACGGACTTCTACTTATGTAATGCTGTGCGTTGGGCAACCGCTTACACGCGAAGCGCATTTAACAGATTCCTTATGTGACAACTCTCAAGCAATGCAAAACAGAGCCTTGACAAAACGCCCAGAACATAGCGAGACGGCACAGTGAAAACCTCGCCACAAACAAAGTGGCTCAAATTCATATATGTAATACTTCTATATTGGCAGTAAGCTAACTTCTCAATGTGTAAGCATTCCGAAATCAAAGCGAGACAGTCTAGTACCATTTTCGTCAATGTATTGTGTACTTGAGTGCCGTTTTTGTATATGTGTTGTGTACATGTTTATTTATAAACGTATGTGTTCCTTTTCTTTCGTGCGTGTTTATTGATATATGTATCTGTACTGTAGTGTTTTCGGACGGAACTAGCTCTTACTGCCAATATAGGAGTATTACATATATGCTCAAATTGATTGGTCAAAAATCAGCTGGTTTGAATTTGTTCCAAACATTTATGTTGTTGTTGTAGTTGTTGTTTTGTCGAATATCGAGCCCTAACCGCCAAAATAACGTAAGCGACATTTTTTTCAAAATTTTATTTTTGATGCAGAAATATTCCTCGGGCATCTAGATGTATTTCTGCATCGAAAAGAAAATTTTGAAAAAAATGGCGCTTACGTTATTTTGGCGGTTAGGGCTCGATATGCGTGCAGTGTTGCCAGGCTCGGCATGAGAAAACGTCCCTCTTGGTCTGAAAAAACGTCATTTCCTACCCAAAAACGTCTTTTTCGAATGAATGTACAAAAAATTGTTCTTGTTAAACTTTTATTGTATACAAAGGTACATATTTTTTTCAAAATTTTGTTTTTGATGCAGAAATATTCCTAGAGCATTTAGGGCCGGTTACTCAATGTCTGGTTAACACTAATCTGCGGTTAAACATCGTTATCGGCGTCTTCGACTCCATGCATATAACAGGGAGTCGGTAACGTTGATAACTATGTTTAACCGGAGATAAGTGTTAACCAGACATTGAGTAACCGGCCCTTAAATGCATTTCTGCATCAAAAAGAAAATTTTGTCGCTTACGTTATTTTGGCGGTTAGGGCTCGATATGTACGTAATGTATATTATTCAAAATGTCATTTCGACAGAGGACATTTAAAATTCATTGTAAACTGGTCGTTAATATAAAAATCATTTTATACATACACTTCTGATCAGCTGATTAAGTCATCAATATTTTGATCGATTTTGGCTGTTTCTCTTTCGTTTATTTAATGTTTATTATTTTTCCATAAAAGCCAAGCTCATTAACAAACAAAATATAAATCCACGAAAATTGCGCAAAAATTATAAACAATCTGCAAATTTTCAGCTAGATTTTCAACTTTTTATTCAGAGTTTTTAGATTTTTTTTTTTTGAGTATGCAGTTTGATAGCCCATTAAATTTCAGGGCAATAATGTGCAAGTTTAAAGGGGCTAAATAATCGCGTTGATTTTTAATTGTTGCTAGTACTTGCAAGTTTTTACTGGCAATGCATTCAATAAACCAAAATATTTGCAAGAGGGAGCGAATTCGAAAGCGTAACAACCCGATAGAGCTGCAAATTTTTGCAAGTAAAAATTTTACTAGCTGGAATCTGCAGGAGTCAAAAAGTAAGGTTATGTTTCAAACTCAAATGTAAACAAACTGTTTAAGAGGATGATTTGATGAAACATAATTAGTGGAATGAAAATATGGATGAAAAATTTAAATCTGTTGTATATTTTTTTATTTTTAAAACGATGGGAACTATTCCCAATTAAAAAGAAAATTACGCGCCAAAACTTAACCGTCAGAAAGTGTCAAAATGGCTTAAGTTGCAAGTTTTTACTAGTTCTGCGTTCAATAACTTTTTATGAAAATTTTCTCTTGCTCTCAATTTTACTCTCTAATTTTCTTTTACGCTCTCGCTGCAAGTACTTACTGGAAAAGTTATTGAATGGGCCTGATATATCAGTCTTTTTTGTGTTCGTTACATTTTCAATGAAGTCTTAAAAAAGTCGCCTACTTTTTTCTGACGTTTTATGCTGCACAGCTTTTTTGATGCTTTTGCGAGCGTGCCTGCTGCAATAGATCGGCTCTTCCTGAATTGGCTTTTAATGTGCAATTGCAAACATTACAGAAAGCCTCGTAACCTCAAGTGTTTACACAACCAGCCTTTGAACACGGGATCCTTAGTCCAAGAATCCAGACAAAATCTTTTGAAGCAGCTGTAGCAAAACACAAAGATTGTAAAGATTTGTTAAGAAAATAATTCAAAATCAGTTCTACTTATAAGATTTAGTAACAAACAAAAATTACTTGGAAGTTAAAAAACGTCATTTTTTACACAAAAAACGTCTAAACGTCAACAGGGTACAAAAAACGTCCAAATGACGTTGAAAACGTCAACCTGGCAACGCTGTTTGCGTGCGTCAAAAGTTAAGAGTTGGGCGAATTTTATCAGTTGCGGCAATTCATGCGTTGCCAATGTGACATCTTCTGCACCTCCAACCGACCTTTTTGGAGAGGGCATGAACCGCCATTGACAAAAATGCAACCACCGACCCCCCTATGGTTCCCTACGGACCCCTTAGAAAAATGGCCAAAAATCGCAATTTTTACTTGCGTCCACAGTATTTTTGCGTAGAATTCCTTTCTGCGTAAGCGGCCTTCGGCCCCGCTTAGGGATTATAATAAAGAGTTGTCCCTTCTTGTTATCTACGTTCTTTGCCCTTACTACGTAAAATTCTCCTTCTGATGTGACCAAACTGGGGCTACCGCCCCAGTGATGTAACCTTGGGAAAGGATGAGGTAACTAGAATTCCCTTTCTGTGTGGTGAACCTGGGGCTGCCGCCCCAGTGATGTATATTTTGGTTACTGGGTGTTTTATAAAAATGTCTTGTATATAAAAATGTATATATAAAAATGTCGAGCCCTAACCGCCAAAATGCCAATTCATACGTTGCCAATGTGACATCTTCTATTCAAAATCACAGAGTTAACTTGGATGTCAGTCAAAAGGGGGAAACTTTCCATTATGGGCGTTCGTTAAAGGTGCGGTGGGCGAAGGGGGAGTGGGCGTGGCACCTCCAACCGACCTTTTTGGAGGGGGATGAACCGCCGTTGACAAAAATGCAACCCCCGACCACCTAAGCCCCCTATGTTTCCCTACGGACCCCTTAGAAAAATGGCCAAAAAATCGCAATTTTTACTTGCGTCCACAGTATTTTTGCGTAGAATTCCTTTCTGCGTAGGCGGCCTTCGGCCCCGCTTAGGGATTATAATAACGAGTTGTCCCTTCTTGTTATCTACGTTCTTTGCCCTTACTACGTAGAATTCTCCTTTTGATGTGACCAAACTGGGGCTACCGCCCCAGTGATGTAACCTTGGGAAAGGATAAGGTAACTAGAATTCCCTTTCTGTGTGGTGAACCTGGGGCTGCCGCCCCACTGATGTCTATTTTGGTTACTGGGTGTTTTATAAAAATGTCTTGTATATAAAAATGTATATATAAAAATGTATTGTGCAAATGAATATTTAACATTTTTCAAGCGAATAAACGCAAATGAAAATTGTGATTTTTGGCAATTTTTCTAAGGGGTCCCTAGGGAACCATAGGAGACCTAGGTGGTCGGGGGTTGCATTTTTGTCAATGGCGGTTCATTCCCTCTCCAAAAAGGTGGATTAGAGGTGCCACTCCCACTTACCTTTCGCCCACCGCCCCTT